TTCCTGGCTACAGTCTGCATCTGCAGTAATCTTTGCACCTAGAAATACAAAGTCTGTCACGGCCTCCACGGTTTCTCCCTCTATTTTCCAGTTGTCAATCATTCTTGTTGCCATAATCTTGGTTTTTTTGACGTTCAGCTGCAACCCGGCTTTTGCGCTTTCTTCTTTCACCTTGATTAGAAGGCTCCTCAGCTCCTCCTCGCTTTCGGCCATCAGAGTGGTGTCATCTGCATATCTGAGGTTGTTAATGTTTCTTCCAGCAATTTTCACCCCAGCTTGCATTCCTCAAGCCCTGCACATCGCATGATGTGTTCTGCATACAAGTTGAATAGGTTTGGGGAGAGTATACACCTGCCATGTGCCTTTCCCAATCTTGAACCAGTCTGTTGTTCCATGGCCATTCTTACTGTTGCTACTTCGTCGTTATACAGATTAATCAAGAGACAGACAAGGTGACTTGGTATCCCCATACCACAAAGAACTTGCCACAATTTATTATGATCCACACAGTCAAAGGCTTTAGAATAGTCAATGAAGCAGAAGTAGATGTTTTTCTGAAACTCCCTGCCTTTCTCCATTATCCAGCGGATATTGGCAATTTGGTCTCTCGTTCCTCTGCCTTTTCTAAACCCAGCGTGAACATCTGGCAACTCTCGCTCCATGTATTGCTGGAGTCTTCCTTGCAGGATCTTGAGCATTACCTTACTGGCATGAGAAATAAGGGCCACTGTACGGAAGTTTGAGCAGTCTTTCGCATTTCCCTTTTTTGGTATGGGGATATAAGTTGATTTTTTCCAGTCTGATGGCCATTCTTGTGTTTTCCATATTTGCTGGCATATGGCATGCATCACCTTGACAGCATCATCTTTTAAGATTTTAAACAGTTCAGCGGGGATCCCGTCGTCTCCTGCTGCCTTGTTGTTAGCAATGCTTCTTAAGGCCCATTCAACCTCACTCCTCAGGATGTCTGGTTCTAATTCATTCACCACACCGTCAAAACTATCCTCAATATTATTATCCTTCCTATACAGATCTTCTGTATAGTCTCGCCACCTTCTCTTGATCTCTTCAGCTTCTGTTAGGTCCCTGCCATCTTTGTTTCTTATCATACCAATTTTTGCCTGAAATTTACCTCCAATGTTTCTAATTCTCTGGAAGAGGTCTCTTGTCCTTCCTATTCTGTTGTCTTCTTCCACTTCCATGCATTGCTTATTTAAAAATAGTTCCTTATCTCTTCTGGCTAACCTCTGGAATTGCGCATTTAACTGGGCATATCTCCCCTTATCCCTGTTTCCTTTTGTTTTCCTCCTTTCTTGGGCTACTTCCAGTGTCTCAGCAGACAACCATTTTGCCTTCTTGGTTTTCTTTTTCTTTGGGACGTACTTTGTTGCCGCCTCCTGAACAATGTCTCGGACTTCTGTCCATAGTTCTTCTGGGACTTAGTAAAATCTAGTCCTTCAAATCTGTTCTTCACTTCCACTGTATATTCGCTAGGAATGTTAGTGAGATCATATCTAACTGGTCTGTGTATTTTCCCTGATCTCTTTAGTTTTATTCTAAATTGAGCAATAAGAAGTTCGTGATCTGAGCTACAGTCAGCCCCAGGTCTTGTTTTCACCGACTGGATGGATGTCCGCACCTTTGGCTGCAAAGGATGTAGTCAATCTGATTTCGGTGTTGACCATCTGGTGAGGTCCATGTGTAAAGCCGTCTTTTAGGTTGTTGGAAGAGAGAATTCGTTATACACAGCGAGTTTTCCTGGCAAAATTCTATCAGCCTGCGTCCCGCTTCATTTTGTTCTCCCAGACCATGCTTGCCTGTGATCCCAGTTGTCATTTGACTTCCCACCTTGGCATTCCAGTCTCCTGTAATGAAAATAATGTCTCTTTTTGGTGTATTATCCAGTAGTTCCTGCAGATCCTCATAAAACTGATCTACTTCTGCTTCTTCAGCAGCTGTGGTTGGGGCGTATATTTGGATCACTGTAATGTTGAAAGGCTTTCCTTGCACTCGAATTGAGATCATTCTGTCATTTTTTGGGTTGTATCCAAGCACCGCTTTAGCGAAGTTCTTATTAATTATGAAGGCTACTCCATTTCTTCGATGTTCCTCTTGTCCGCAGTAGTAGATCTGGTGGTCATCTGATGTGAAGTGGCCCATTCCAGTCCATTTCAGTTCGATGACCCCCAGAATGTCTATCTTTAGTCTTGACATCTCACCAATAACAACATCCAATTTGCCCTGGCTCATAGATCTTACATTCCAGGTTCCTATGGTGTGTTGATCTTTAGAGCATCGGATTCGTCGTTCACCTCCAGCACCATTGGCTGCTAGCCTTCCTTTCGGCTTTGAGCTAGCTGCGTCATTACATCTGAGGCTAGATGAACTTATCCTCTGCTCCTCCCCAGTAGCATTTTGACAATCTTCGACCTGGGAGTCCCATCTTCCAATGGCATACCAACATTTCTCTGGTTGTACTGGTCCATTTAGTTTTCTTGACAAGAATACTGGGGTGGTTTGCCATTGCCTTCCCCTGGGATGGCGCTTGGTCTGACCTCTCTGCCACGACCGTCCCGTCTTGGGTGTCCCTTCACGGTTTCGGTCATGACATCATTGAGGTGCTCAAGCTCCAGCGCCCCGACAAGGCGGTGATCCTTTGCTGGAGGCTACAAATTTCGAATTTCCTGAAATCTGTAACAAATTTCGAATTTCCTGAAATCCCTTTGAAACGGTCATAACATTCTGAAATGTCAATTATACGGAGTAATATAAACATTTGTACAAAGAATTATCAGTGCCTGAATATCTGGAAATACAAACTATTGAAATAAATGTTATCTCTCAGACTTTGGCAAACTACAGTCATGTATTCTACATCAATCCCCTAGCCAATGAAGCTAATAGCACTTTAAAACACAACTATTTCAACTTGTTTACAAATCTCCTGCATGTCTGGCTGAAAGCAATAAAAATTCATGTCATAAAATTAGATGTATTTTTATGTTCACCAACAGATAATTCCCTTAGTTTCAAGGCAACTAGCATCAAGTACCATTTATGCCCATTCTTATTCAATCACAAAACATTGATACATTTGGCAGAATACAGTATTTAAAACCAGTGATTTCCAAGTTATGCCCCTCAAGAGATGCACCTATCATGAGTCATTCTTGATTTTTTTGGAGGGGGGTTATCTTGTTTTCCTCTGAGACTGAGAGTATGTGATTTGCCCAGAGAGACTCAGTGGTTTCCATAATTGAGTGGGCATCCAAACCCTGGTCTCCTAAACCCTATTCCAATGCTCAAACCACTACACAATTCTGTTTCACAGTGATTACACCATACCCTCACAATAGATCAGCCCACAATGCTTTTATGTGATCGCTTCTTTTAAAAAAGACATCCTGTTGCTCACTCTGGAAATTATCAAACCAAAGGATGTGGCATTAAACATTTGAGCAAGGAATGAGACAATTAAAAAATAAACCTTTTTGTTTCTGTCATGTCTATTTTATTTTAGGGAGCTAATAAGGAATTATTATACCTTCTATTGAACTGAAACTTAATTGGAGGAGATATGAAGTATTTTTCCAGAAACTGCTTGAATGAATTTACAAGTCACTCTATCCAGCATATTCAGTGATGAAGAAATGCAGTCCATAATCATCTGAATGTCTACATGATTTTAACTTTAGAAGCAAAGTGATAACATATGTACCAAAGACCAATCAAAACTATTATTCTAGTATAGGTTTGTGTCTCACAACTAGACTGCATAATACACATTTGTCCACATGAAATTCAAAGACTTAGAATCAGAGATGCACCATCCAAGATGACTTTCTGAATCTATATTTGGAACCAGTTCCACCCAATGCCCTAGTAAATATTCTTAACATAAAAGGGGGCTTTGGCATTATAGGATGATATAGATGCCAAAGGGAATTCTAGGGAGACCTCTTCAGTCTCTAGGCCATCAGTCATCTCATTTAGAGATATTTACAAGAAGGAAAATACTGGAAATTCTCTATATCCATCTGAACATTAGGAAGAATTTCCTGACTGTGAGAGCCGTTCAGCAGTGGAACTCTCTGCCCCGGAGTGTGGTGGAGGCTCCTTCTTTGGAAGCTTTTAAGCAGAGGCAGGATGGCCATTTGTCAGGGGTGATTTAAATGCAATATTCCTGCTTCTTGGCAGGGGGTTGGACTGGATGGCCCATGAGGTCTCTTCCAACTCTTTGATTCTATGATTCTATGATTCTATATATCCACCTATTTGATATCAAATTTCATAGACAGAAATTTATGTTGTTGTTGTTGTTGTTGTTGTTGTTATATTTTATACTCTGCTTTATCTCCCCAAAGGGGACTCAAAGTGACTTGACATAAATGCATTGGTATGCAACTTAAAATATACAAATATACAAACATTGAAACAGAATTAAACACAAACAGAATTTAAAAATTCAGTTAAAATCCACCAAACATATTCAAAGTTAAAAACCACAGCACGCCCTGACCAGAACTCAAACACCTGTTTGAATAAAAAGGTTTTAGCTAGTTGGTGTGACCCCAGTATGCTCAAAATGTGCCAGAACAAATAAATAACATGTCCAAAGGAAACATTCCACTAACATCCACTGGATTTGTTTCCAAATGGTATATAAATTGTGAACTTCCCATGAACAGTGTGCAGTTTCCTCAATAGATAAAGTATTAAATAAAACAGCATGGAATAAACCATTTTCAGCCAAATGTTAAAACAACACAAGATCTTTTGAGAACCTTATCCAACATACTGTTATATTGAAGTGTAAGACTAAGCAAAATGGAATAGCAAACTAGTATTTGAACATGAAACGAGCATTCATAATTTGTACTATCAGTTTCAAGTGCATTATATAGACTTAATATTAAAATAAATATAGATCCAAGTAACACTATGAAACCATTAACTGTCAAATCAGTAAAGTAGTAGTGAATAAAACAAATATGACTTACCAAATTCCTTTGGTACTGCAATGGAATAAATGCAGTTGTGTCCTATACTGTAGTTTTTAGGGTAGTTTGGAGATAAAACTGTGCCTTCTGAACCTGTAGAACGACTTCCACAAGGTGCTAGGGAAAATGGAATATATTCAATAATTTAATACTGAAAAGCAGAATGATCTGTGTAAATATGATTTATTATACATTGAAAGCAGAGATACAACATGTAACATGATTATTTTAGTTTTTTCTTCCTTGTTTATCAATTGTTGGAAAAGAAATGGATGAAAAAGAAAATCTTCTGATTACTATGTACTATGCAAGTGCAGTTGTCTGAACCAGAGAATTTGGGGAACTCTTTAATGTTAATGTACAAATTAAATGGTACCCTTCTCTGGCATTCTCATTATTCGTAAGAGACCCAGTTATGTTATGTTACCGGCAGCCACCAAATCTCAAAAGTGTAAATATGTATATGATACAACATTTCTTCCATCATATATTGTAGTTTGTGAAATATTTTCCCTGCAAATGCTTTCCTGGCTTCACTGTAGCTTGCCTTGAAATCTAGGCATTTAAATATTGGCAAGATTAAGACTCAGCTGACTTAACTCATATGGTCTTTTGCTGTGGCTTTACTGTGCATTACCTCACATGTGAAATATGTTTTCCTAAAGTAACCCAGTCATAGTTATATATCTATGACTCACAAAATATTTAACTAATATTGATTTTTTTTAAAAAAAAATAACAATTTAATATTTAGATTCTGATAAGAAATAGAATAATTTTAAGTACTAAAACACCTATTCATTCAAGTACTACAAGCCATTGGTCTGAACTACAAGTCACTGGTTTTTCATAGGAAGTCATCTCAACATCCACAAAAGATTACATACAACATAAGCTTGAGTTATGTAATATTCTTCCTCCACAATTTTCTGAGTAAAGACACATATGTAAAAAAAAAAAAAACCCTAACATTCTCCAGATTCACAATGGAAAAAAGGATGCACTCTTAATGAGTCACAACATGAATGGTACCACATTTCATTATGACCTATATATGTATATTGAATAACATAATACTATAGCATACTATAACAGGTTACCTAACATCTGTAGTGAAGGGGTAATCTATCCCTAATATTTGATTTAGCAGGTATCTCAGAACCATATCTCTGGTTTGGTGGATTCACACCATTTTACAAAGGGGTATTCATCATACTGTAAACCATGCAACTAGATGCTCCTTGACTTTGGATCCTGTCTACATCCTTAGATTATGTAAAGTCGAAAAAATAGGAAAGAAACCTGGACAAATAAGAGACCAAAGCTGTGTCTACTGTATGTGTATTAACTACAAAAATCCCACTGGATGATACTGTGCAGATAAAACAGTGACAAGGAAGAATGATTCTCGTCTGACATCTCCATTACATTATATGTCTTTAGATGTTCCCTACCCTATGTTTTGCCAGATTTGTCCAAACTTTTCAACTAGTTTGCAATATGCTTGTCTCATCTATAACAACAATCTAGAAAACTAAGAAGCAGATCTTTGCTTTGTCTGGGGAGTAATCATGTCAATTGCACAAACTATTTTTTCATTACAGAAAACTACCCAGATCCACCAGCATCTTTACTGGATTATCTCAATTGTCTTTACTTGGTTGCTCTTGCTTACTATGATTACTATGCTTTTTACAATGATTTCCTCCTAATGAGTGACTATGTTCAGTTTAATGATGTAAGTAAATATGCTTTCTTTCTTCGTCTAGTATAGAGCACATTTTATTAATGCTTTAAATGTTCTTAAGTTTAATAAATTGTTTGTGACTTTTCTTTTCTTTTCTTTTCTTAGTGGTCAGAGTGATACCTCCCCACCACACACATGACCTTAAATTTAAAGAAGAAGAAGAAGAAGAAGAAGAAGAAGAAGAAGAAGAAGAAGAAGAAGTGGTGGTGGTGATGGTGTCTAGGGTTTTGCTTTTGTTCTGAAATATGACCATAGTTATTATTGGAATTCTTCTCACCATGAAATGGCTTTCCACTATGTGAACAATAAACTGCTAGCTTGTAAACAATAGATATCAGTTACATGAAAGGTAAATCTTATGTAATACTGTCAGAAAGAAGTACACTTCTCAAAGCTGACCAAAGAATACTTATGATCTTTTGTCTTATGAAAAGCGTAATCAACACATATTCTACTTTTTGTTGTACTTTTTAAGAGTTATCATCAAATACCAAAATAGTTTCGTGTATTCATTTGGTTTATCTTTGAATTCATTCATACTGCAATTAGATTGTGTATTTGGTTCACATCCCACATTTATTTAGAGAGGCTTCAAGAGTACCTGAAATAATAGCCAGAAGCAAGTAGGACCTAATACAGAAATTTACTGAAGAGATGTTGTATAGCTTTCCTTCCATCTTTCATTAGCTTAATTAGAAATACTGAATTTAAACAAATACTCCTGCAATGTAAAAACAATATTTGGATATATTTGGATAATTGTACAGAAATCATGCAATGTAACATAGTGGTTCTCAGCCTGTGGGTCCCCAGGTTTTTTGACCTACAACTCTCAGAAATCCCAGCCAGTTTACCAGCTGTTAGGATTTCTGGAGTTGAATGCCAAAATATCTGGGGACCCACAGGTTGAGAACCACTGATGTAACACAATGAATATACAGAATATTCAGCCTAGTAAACGTAAAGGTTTCCCCTTGAAATCAAGTCTAGTCGCATCTGACTCTAGTGGATGGTGCTTATCTCCATTTCTAAGCCAAAGAGCCAGTGTTGTCCGTAGACACCTCCAAGGTCATGTGGCCAGCATGACTGCATGGAGTGCCGTTACTTTCCTGCTGAAGTGGTAGTTATTGATCTACTCACATTTGCATGTTTTTAATTGCTGGGTTGGCAGAAGCTGGGGCTAACAACGGAAGCTCACCCCATCCACAGATTTGAACCGCTGATCTTCTGATCAGCAAATTCAGCAGCTTAGCGGTTTAACCTGCTGCCCCACTGTGGTCCCACAGTCAGCCTAGGGATATGAAAATCCACCAGTCTCATTCAGATTATTTCTCAAAAACTGAATGGGATAGTCATTTCTTCAGTATCATGTTGCAAGATACTGAAGAAATGTAAGTATTTTGTGTGCAAATATATTCCCAAATATTTTTTGTGAAATCACATGTGCTTTCCCCAATTAATGCATTTTTACACAATTTACAATAGGTTAAAACATAGTTGCATTACAGAAAGGAACTAGAACACATTACTTGTAACACCAGACGTTGCACTGTTTTTACACATTACTTCTGAAATATAACCTTTAAACCTTAGTTGTCATCCCAGAATTATGAACTACAGATCATTGTAGTACAAATGCTTTTCAAAATTAGAATCCCAAAATTATGGAGTAGACAGGTTATGCTTAATGCCAGGAGTGTTCGTTTCCTCCAATAAACTCCTCAAAACACCCTGGAAACTAAAGCATCTGAAAGCAACATAGTTTTTTTTTTCAAAAGAAAGAAAGAAATAGTCCTCTTTATCATCAAAGGCAGCAATGGTAAACAAACAAACAAAAAACTGAAGGAAAATAAACTTGCTTATCAGGCAGGAGTATTGGTAGCTCAAGATGTGAAGATTTCTAAAGGGCTTTCTGGGAAGAAGATACATCTGGAAGGCTCCAAAGCAGAAAGAGAATAGCCACATCTGCACATTTAAGATATGCACAGCCGCCCTCATTACTTTATTGAAGTTCCGCATTAGTAATATCTTAAACATTTTCAAAATCCCTGAACAGTGGCAGACAAAACATACAAACCAAGCACTGGTGCTTTGCAAGGAAGGCAGACAACTGGCCAAAAAATGAGAGGATTCTTCTAGCTCCTAATAACAAAACCATTGCATACATTCATTTTGTGGTAGATATGTCCCTGGGCATTACTTGTTTAACAGAAAATTCAATACAAGAAGCACAATTAACTTGGAAATGTTAGGGATAGATCCCTATAGCACAAAAAGTGAAGTTTAACAAATTTATTTAGTTTGTATCGTGTTTTTCTGCATATAACTCTGTGGAATGGAAAGAACTGGATGGATGTGCTGGCCTCCCACTCACAACCTGTAATGAGATAGTAAAGGGAAAAGCAAGGCCCCATGGAAATGAATACCACTTACTATAAGAAGAAATGCAGTAATTAAAAAAATCAATGTAACACCGTTTCCTTCCCCCCACAAATGAGAATGTCACCCTCTCCCCAAGTCTTACCATGGCAGCTTGGTAAAGCCCTATTCCATCCAGGTCTTCCATCATCTCCCATGATACATGTGAGTGTAGAGTAACCTTGGAGAATGTAGCCAGCATCACAGTAATATGTGACTGTTGACCCCAATTTATAATCCATTCCAAGTCTTGTGCCATTCATTATGTTCCCAGGATCGAAGCAGGACTCACGAAGTTTGGCTACGATTAGGGAAGAAAACTGGTTATATGGATTTTTCTACCTATCTACTAAGGTAATTTTACTATTAACACACAGATTACAGATAGTGTGTGACAGTAACTGTGATTCTTAGATAGTTGGCATATTAGCAATAATGACTTTAAAGAACCTTTTTAGAAGTATTTGGCTAGGTACATGGGGCTGGAGAATATGTACAAAACCTTGGGAAACACAGTGTCATGATTTACTTGGTGGTGATGGTGACATGTGAAATTTATGTGTTCATTATATTTATCCTGCCTTGTTTTATATACCTTAGGGTAACAATTGTTTTCTTTTATGTTGATCTGTGACCATAATGAAATACTGATTGATATCTTAGTTTCATTCCAATCATAAAATGATAATTATCATAATAACATTAGTATTCCCTCTTCTTCTTTGAATCTTTTTTTATTTTTATTGAAATCTCATTGCATGTCTCTCCAAATCTAATCAAAGCAGTAAGGATGGAGTGCTTAAACCTGCTTTCATGCTACTTTCCCAGTTAAAATTACAGGACCCTACAGTATTTTCCAAATCAAAGAGTTCTTGTTTCTTTTCCAATAAGAAAAGAAAAGCAACTACATAACTATTTTTAATTAGAAGTAGAATTAAATGAAAGAAGTATGCTTTCCCATCCTTCATATACTGTCACTGAAAGCTGCATTCCAGTATATAACAAGGATTGAGAAATTAATTGTGTTCTTCCTAGTAACTACAGATTTGACCAAACCCATGTGGGTTGGCTTAAACACAGTTAAGTCAATCCAATGTCTATCTATGTCTGTTTTTAGCCACTGCAGAGTTTCCTTCTTGTGCAACTACCAAGACCCCCCCCCCCCCCCACAAATAACATAAAGCTGCTGAAGCCCCCTCCCATGGTCATCTGTGTCTGGAAGATAGCAAGAGGGTGAATATCAGAAGCACTTGGCTATGTTTCTGTAGCAGATACAAAATGAGTATCTCATGGACTAAGACAGTGGTTCTCAACATGTGGGTCCCAAAAACATCTCTCTCACACACACACTCTCACACACACTCTCTCTCTCTCTCTCACACACACACACACACACCCCTGAGAGAACATTCAGTTATGTCAGGCTTTCCTATAGATCAGAATGATACATCTCTGACATGTGTATTACTAGATTAAAGCAATATGCTTTATTAAGATTAAGAATCTCCATGTTATTTTATACCGTGTGACAAACAATAGCTTCCAGTCAGGCAAAATAGAGTATTATGACCAAATGAACAAAACGATAGAAACCTTGATTTCATGCAGAAAAATTAAGAAGCTGTGTTGGATACAATGATGAATATTATGTTCAAGCTATGCAAGATATCCAAAACGTTGCTTATATACATTTACCTTTATACTCCAGGTGGAAACCAGTAAAACTAACAGATCCATCACTTCGAAAAGCCAAGTGCATTGAGTTTGAACTACTTTCTATCCTTTCTGGTAGCTTGCTATCTTGAAAGCTCCCAATTAGTGCACTATTGCTGTCTGGCCCATCATAGATATAGAGAAAGTCATAGTTTGGTTCTATACTGAAGCTGGAAAAATATTTAAAACAAGACAAATGTCAGATAGGACTATAATTCACCAATGTACATACCAAGAAAAGCCTGCTAGCTCCTAAAACCATCATTATTTTTATAGCCAGTTAAATGATTGATAGACAATAGATAAATATATAGAGAGATATAGTTTTACACTGGACTTCCTTCTTATAAATTACAAGTCAAAGAGCATCTTTTTGTTGGAAAAAATACATTACACTGTAAAACTTTTTTTGTGGATTACCATACTTCTGTGCATATTTTAGCACTATGTTTACATATACTTGATTTCCTGTGAGGTTCTTGTTTGCATTCACACATATTCTTACATGATATTCATTATAGTATGAACAATAGATTTGCTTTTTAAAATCTCTGACATCATTTAAGGCACTGAATTGTGATAGAGGATTTGAACAAACAGCATTTAATAACCAGGATAGCATCTACTCACCTGAGCCTTATAAGAATGCAAATATGTGGCTTACAAAATTGGTCTTAACATGCCTCTGAGATTTCTGTGAAATCTCACATCCTGTAAAAGCTGTAAAACCTCTTGGATTTTAGTTATGGGTCAACAAAATGTTACCTCATATTGACTATCTTATATATCAGGTAATTTGTATGGGCTTGGTTGTATAATGCTACAAATCCATGTATTTCTAGTTTAAAGATTATAGTTGTATTCATGTATTACTCATGTGTAAATCAGTCAGTTGTAAAGATCATATACCCCTGAATTATCCCAATTTGGCAGGTATAATCCTCAATTAAACTTCTGTTATCACACTTCAACTATTTTTAAATGTCCTGGTTTCTCTTTCTTCCTTCCACCTGCTCCAGTTACACTCAAGTATACTTTAGTTACTGCAAACTGAATTCAAAATGTAAAGATAGTCTGATATTGGTTGGTTGGGTGGAGAAGAGATGAGGAGGTGGAATTTTGCCCTTCTTTATAGACCCAGACAACAGCTAGTTGATGCATCTTCTCTTAGCTTGTGTCTTCTTCCTCATTAATACAGTATATTCTGGCGTATAAGACTACTTTTTAACCCAAGAAAATCTTCTCAAAAGTCAGGGGTCGTCTTATATGCGGGTGTAGTCTTATGCATGGGAGTCATCTTAATTCTATATTTTAACTGGAAAAGTTGGGGGTCGTCTTATATGCCCAGTCGTCTTATATGCCGGAATATACGGTAACTTTTTCTGTCTTGACCACACCCTCATGCTGCTTGGTCACATAATGACCCATGAAAAGTTGGAGGTTCTCAGAGTTTCCAGACTTTTCACTTCAGTGTGCTGTGTGTGATTGCCTACAAAATAAATACAGTAAAGTATCACTTAAACATTAGGAACAATTTCCTGATGGTAAGTGTTGTTTGACAGTGGAATATGGTGTCTTGGAATTTGGTGGACTCTCTTTCTTTGGAGGTTTTTGAAGAGAGGGTGGATGGCCATCTGTTTGGAATTATTTTCTTGTGTATTTCTGCATGGCAGGGAGGTTTAAATGGATGGTCCTTGTGGTTTCTTCAAACCCTATGATTCTATGATATCAGACAAACATACTGAACACATGAGCAGTGTTTCTATAGGCTACGGAGATAAAACCTGGAGTGTTTAGCTGCTCTTGATTAAAAGCTACAAGCACCACAGATATCAAAATAGGTGCAGCAGCCTTAGTTCTTTCTATGTTGATATTGTATATTTTTCCTGCAATGAGATGCTGCAGGGAGGAAACCTATTTGGTGGCCTCCATTACCAAAAATCATAGAATCATAAAATAATATAGTTGGAAAAGACCACATGGGACTTGCAGGAAAAACACTATCAAAGTACCCCTGACAGATGGCTGTCCAGCCTTTGTTGAAAAGCTTCCAAGGAAGGAACTTCCACCATACTCCGAGGCAGAGAGTTCCACTACTGAACAGTTCTTACAGTCAGGAAGTTCTTCCTAATGTTCAGATGGAATCTCCTTTCCTGTAATTTGAACCCATTACTCCGATATAAGGCACCATGTACCAAAATACTAGGGCTGAGCGGTTTCATTTCGTAATTCGTTAAAAATTCGTTTTTTTGGGGTTACAAAGCGATAACGAACCATTCAGGAGCATCTAAAAAACGAAACGAATTTTTCAATTCGTTTCATAATTGCTTCGTATTCGTTTCGTATTTGTTTCGAAATCATTTCGAAATCGTTTCGTTATTATTTCCACATGTCTGGGGCAAGTTTTATAGCTGTTGTTTGTTTAATCAGTGAAAAAAATTATAAATATCACACCAACAGTCAACAACAGAGGGAGAGGGAAGCTTCAGAAGTTTCCCCTGTCCCATATGGAGGTTTTTTAGCGTATTGCACGGTCGCATCCGCCATTAACGAATCGATTCGTATTAGTTTCATATTCGTTTCGTATTCGTTTCGTAATTTCACGAAATTTCGTAAATATCGAACTTTTTTAAAGAAAAATTTTGGAATTCTTTTAAATATCGAAATGAAAAAAACCCCAAAAAATGAATCGAGTTTAGAAACAAATTTTTCCGTGGTTGCCCAGCCCTACAAAATACTGCATGCAATGGGGATGGGTTCTCCCACACACTTGCCTCTTCCAAATTCTGAATGCAAACAACTTTCCTGCACTCAATGCACTGTGGTCTTATTTGATCATTTTGGGGATGAGGAGGAATTACAAAGGTTTTCTCACCTACCTCATACTGTATTTCACGTCGACAGTTGGTTACAGTGTCACCTATAAACACAATATCATCTGCAAGTATTTGAGTGGATATATGTTAAGATTTTGTGTTTAGGTTCACTTTTTAATATAGGATACAACTCGGAACAGCCTCCCCAGTCTTAGAGGGGTTTGGAAAGGGTAGACATTTAAGGCAACCCTTGGGATTTCACTGTCACTTGGAAGTCATGAGGTTCACTTTCCAGTAAGTGAACAGTTGTAGAGCAACCCAAATTTTTGAACTGCTCTCAGGGCTCAGAGGATTTTGCCCAAGAGAAAACTGTAGAGGTGTTTTCAAGGTAGGCACGTATCCTCAGCTGAACCTGCTTCAGGTTGCTCCTCCAGTTACACCTTTTGGTTCCAAATAAATAAATAGGACTTAGGATAAATAAAGTAGTCCTTCCTAAACCCAATCTTTCTGTCTCACCTTGTTATTCCATTACAGGCAGTCCCCAGGTTAAATTGATTTTGTAAGTCGGAACTCCAGCCAAATACTTTTTAGCTTTAGACAGCATAGGGAAGAGTTAACTCCCCTGTGATGTTAGTTTTGCTATCTGTGCCCCTGTTCAGAAGATTTCCCCTCACTTTCTGTCCCTTTGACAAGTGGATTTTGGAAAAAAAATTAGCTTGTTGTGGAAACAAAGATGGGTGAGAAAGCTTCAGTGGAGACACCTTTTCTGCTCAGGAGTGAACTCAGGAGTGAATTTCCCTTCTGAGGGGTAAACTTCTTTCACTTCCTGTTGCCTCATACCCATTCTTAACTATGTGTCGTTTGTAAGTCAGATGTTTGTACCTCAGGTACTTACTGTATTCCATAGCAATACTTAATGCATACTTCTTTCCTCACAAAAACAATGCTTTTTCAGCATGGACTCCTCATATCTAGAATTGTGGTTTGTGCCTCACTTTTCACAAAACTGAGACAACCCTATCATGGGATATTCTTGGCAAAATTACTTCTTGCATTTCTTTGAAGTTTGAAAGAGGGTGATTTGCCCAAGGTCACTCAATTCATTTGAGTGGAGATTCTATTATAGTCAAAAACTCAAGCTGCTACCCTACACTAACTTTTAATATTTTAATTTTGTTGTCTGGGCTATTCTTCATGCATTATCTCCCTGAGGATAAGTAGACATGAAAACACGTTAAAAAACCAAACAAGTAAATGGAGCAGGGGTCCTCAAACTAAGGCCCGAGGGCCGAATACGGCCCTCCAA